AAACCCTGTTAACGTGTCAAGAGACGTCATTTTGAATGTCCATCCTATAAACGTAGTGTTTTAATGAAGCAATAAGGTGGTTTACAACGTCGGGGGTGGAAAGTCTGTCAAATGGTTCAGGCAATTCAGTTCTCTCTGCACCGCTGCTGCAAGCCGGTCAGTGTGGAACCGTGCGTGGAAAACAGAAACAAATATCTACATTTTACTTTTTAATTGCACTTTTTCAGCGGGGGAGAATTATTCTGAATTACTGTTCTAATGGAGGGGAAACACTGAGACTTGAGGCAGTACTATTGTCAATGTTACAGTTCAAGGGTATTTGTTAAAGTACTGCTTCAAGTACCTAATTGCTTTTAGAACACGGTGGCCAGCAAAGTTATAAATTGGAAGTAAATTGCTGCTTTTCAGCCACCAAACGTTGTGTATCTCAGTTCAGTAGTATAGAGGAAACAGTCCCTGTACATGAGGCTGTGTTCGCCTCGCACCAGACGTTTGTTGTTCATCAGCCAGGAGATCAACATTCATTTGTGCGTCTGAAAACAAGTGTCAAAAAAGTGAAATGACAACTAACAGTTCAAATCAGATCCACCGGTTATTTGGAGTGTGGACCGATATGGAACGCTTAGGTCAATGTAAACAGGTACAGTACACCTGTAACTCACTCACAAACCATCAGAACGCTTTACTTCATTCACCCGTATTATAAAGATGAACATCATCACTCATCGTCCAGCAGATGGAGCTGTGCCGTTTCTTCTCTTGATCTCCTTCAGAGTCCAGAGAGAGGACATGTAGCTGTCCTCATAGGACACATGGTGGTTACCATGGTAACATGGGGAAGCTTTCTCCTGATGGGACGATTCACTTCACCATGTGATCAGTTAGCAAAAGGTCGACTACGACCTGCTGATCAATGAGAGAAAAACTGAACACTAAAGAAAACAAACACATTCAAACACTAAAAAGTGACTAAATGTGTTTAAAGCAGATGAAGAAGTGAACATGAAGCTTTGTGGACTTAAGGACTGAAGCAGCAGGTGAGACAAACAGAGCGTCTCTCAGGTGTGTTTGAGGAGCAAAGGCCCAGGTGAGCTCTGTGGTCCCTGCTGGGTCCTAGTGCCCCTCCGTCTGCTACCTTCCCCTCCTCATCAGTAACAGTCCTCACAGACCCCAGATCAGACTGAGCTCCTCTTCTTCATCATTCAGACCAACAGCAGCTCCTCTCTGCCTGCTCACACAGGCGCCATCTTGTTTCCCAGCTTTAAACAATCACACGTTCACAACCATCAATGATGTCATTCAACCAATCACAGCTCCACTTACTGAGCTCGTAGACATGAACTTCCTCAGTGAGCAGCTCTCTTCTGTCCTCAGCAGGTCCGTGTAGAAAAGGAGCTCCGTGCTTCACTTCAGCTTCCATCAGACGGAGTGAAGCGACGCAGCTTGTTGGAGCTTGTTGTCCTTCATCAGAGAGGGTGTTTCCTCACGTCACCATCAAAGTATGCGGTCTGACTGGTTGACTGAGTGTCAGTGTGAGCCGTGTTCACAAAGGTCAAAGGTCCTCGACTAGTAGGGAACACGTGATGAAGCAGAAACCTTTGTAACAAATGTGGTGAAGAGTTTATGTTGAATAAAAACATCCACTAAGACAACAGAGTCAGAGTGTTTTTAGTCTTCTCTCCACTTTGAGGATCTGGTTGAACCTGTTTGGGCGGAACAACTTACTCGTATCAGTCTGAAGCTGCGTGTTAAACCTTTTACCTTCATGACAAACTGCCGCTTCCTCACAAAGTACACGCTGTTACATTCAGGATTCTACTGAGGCTTCGTGCTACTTCCTCAACCCCTCATACCTGCTGTGCAAAGGATTGTGGGTAAGAACAGGCAGTAAAGAAGCCTGCTTGCATACAGTAAAATGTGCCTGAATGTGACTAAGTGTTTTCATCTTAAAGTTCCTCCCTTTGTCCCATTTCGGTTATTGTTGTTAAATATATTTGCGTGTGGTGGGTTGCAGATATTTTAGGGGGCAGGTGCTCAAACCAAAACAAACGGGGGCCCTTTTGTTTTGGCAAATTACTCAAAATTTGAGAGCGCAAATCAGGTTGATGCGAGCGAGCAGGAAGGTGAACTTTGTCGCTCGCGAGGAGAATCTCTGCTCACGGCCGAAGGTGTTTTCTACGCGCTCGCTGTTCTTTCTGAATGAATCCTTCACACGCTCAGCGCGCAGCGACGTGTCCTTGACGCCAGTTGGCTGGCGGTTGTTGTTGAACTTTGACCTCTGTGAGGTCATCCAGCGCACACAGCAATGGAGGACGTGTCGTCATTCAGGAACCTGTGTGTCTGTGTGTGTGTGTGTCTCTGTGTGTCAGTGTGTGTCTGTGTGTGTGTGTACATGAGGGTATCATTGTAATCTTTCGGGGGGAGGTGCTGTTATCTCAATATTCACGGCAGTGAATAAATGGAATCATTGGCTGAGAACACGTCATGTCCGATACGATAGGTGGCGCTGTTTTCATTACAACTAGTTGTGATGCAGCCATTTCCGCTTGACCTCTTCACCACGACCAACAACAACAACAACAACAACATCAACGTCAGGAGAAAGACGGCGAGCGGAGAGCGAGGTGAAGCTACGTCCCTCGACTATGTGTGCGTGATGCTAACAGCAGCGCGGCGAATGCGAATGGCGCTATTGGCTGATTCGATAACGGAGAGAAGACGCCGTCGCCGAAGGTACATGGAGAATTTAATTCTGACCAACAATATATTGTTGAACTCTGCCATTGTACCGCAAAGGTCTGGAAGAGCTCTGGATGAAGAGCAGAAACAAAGTCTTCTGTTTTCACCGTATCGGATGACGACGACTGGAAAGCGAACTTTCGCACGACTCGAGGATCTTTCCACAAGTTGTGTGGAATTATGGAAGGAGTCATGAAGCCCGCGGAGGTGACTGTTCGAGCACCAATGCCGCTGTCCTCCAAGGCGTAGTGCACGACGCGTATCGCTAAGTTTGGGCCAAATACGTTTAGTTGTCTGCGCTGTGCAACGTGAACGCTTACTGATCCGTTCAATTCACCGCGACCTCAGGCCTGCGTGTGCGTGTTTGTGTGTCCTGTGTCGCCTACGTATGTTCACGTGTGCGTTAGTGTGTCGTGTGTGCCATTAGAAGCTGACGACTTGTTCTCTTTCAGCTTGTGGAGCATCAGCTGTAAGATGCCTGGGTGAGCTCATGACGCTAACGTGCTCAGCCAGACACGCCTGTTAGCAGAAGTAAGTCGTACTCTGAAGACGTATTAATGTGTGGATCAAATCAATGAGATCAATAAATGAGTCGAGCCACTGAAAGTTATTCATGCAGAAACTAGTGGAGCTCCCACCAAGCTATTGAGATGTTACCAGCTTAAAGTAGAATGATGTTTTATAGAGGCTTTATTGTGCTTTTATGTATATATTGTTTTATTTATGCTGGGCCATTTAGTAAGCAGGTCCAACACTGGAAACCATTTCTGTTTCTCCTCCCAGGAACCGAGAGAAATCGCTCACTTCCTGTTGGGAAGCTGTGGATCCCAACTGGTCAGTGGAAGCGGCCACACTGGCATCGAACCTGCCACAGCCAGGTGGTCGTGGCAACAACCGTGGACAGAGGATCAGAGCCGCCCTCAGATTACCTGAGTGCAAACCTGCCCCGCGCAGACCTTTAGACGTCTTCAGGACACAACTGCCAGCTGGTCATAGGTTTGTAAACACAATTCTTGTACAGTTCATGTGTGTTTCATTCCACAAATAAAGAAACTCACAGAAGTTTTAGTTAAGTGTTTTATTTATACGAAATATTAAAAGTAAAACGAGGTATAAGAGCACACAAGTATAAAAGGTAAAACCTTGAATGTCACAGAAAATATATATATATATATATATATATATATATACACACACACACACTGAGGTAGAGTGTATAAATTGTGCTTTTCAGGCGCTAGTGTAAATAAGTAAGCATCCATAACCATAATGGGCGTCTTGCAGTGGTTGATGTTGTGGTGGTGGTGAGAATGTGGTTGGTTGAGGTTGAATGTTCTCCATTCTCTGCATCAGCTTCTCAACCGTACTGTCAGTGCGGAGGATGCTGGAGATCAACCGTTCCTCCCGGGCCTCACTTCTTGCCATGTCCTCCTTCCATTGTCGAGTCATGACTTGCATCTGGTTTACCAGCACATGGACGTCTCTCACTGGCCTTGTTTGCTGGGTCCTCGTTCCTTTAAGAAACGGCAGCTATAAAGTCAGTCGTATCCCTACCGATTAGGCATGTGGTAGTAACCATCTCGACATCAGCTGTTTGTTAGACTACACAGGATGAGTGACAGCATGGCATGAAGATTCTTTGTGATGCCCATATGTTGATGCAGTTATAATATTGCAGAACTTACCAGGTAGATCATCGGTGATTGTAGCACGCAGTGGAGTAGAAGGTGGTGGAGAGCAGCTAGAGTCGACCTAACGGAGGAGGTAGCACGCAGTGGAGTAGAAGGTGGTGGAGAGCAGCTAGAGTCGACCTAACGGAGGAGGTAGCACGCAGTGGAGCAGAAGGTGGTGGAGAGCAGCTAGAGTCGACCTAACGGAGGAGGTAGCACGCAGTGGAGTAGAAGGTGGTGGAGAGCAGCTAGAGTCGACCTAACGGAGGAGGTAGCACGCAGTGGAGTAGAAGGTGGTGGAGAGCAGCTAGAGTCGACCTAACGGAGGAGGTAGCACGCAGTGAAGTAGAAGGTGGTGGAGTTGACGTAGGTGAGGAGGTTCCAGATGAGCCTCCGAGCAGCGTCTCTTCCGGGTCCATTGTAGTATCTATAAGATGGTACAGCACAAATAATAATAAAACGTTATTTATAGAGCACCTTTCATGCAAAAGAATGCAGCTCAAAGTGCTTTACAGCAAATACGTGCGTAATAACGTGCACAAAGAAATTACCTGCACATAAAAATGGACAAAGAAACATAAAAACTCAACTATAGTGCAAAAACAAATGTAGAAAGTACAGTTCATGTAATGTACACTTTATTACGTTTGTAACTTTCATTCTAAATTGAATTCCTTGCAGGTTAGTGGGAAGATCTACACGTTTCTCAAAGGCTAAGGGCTAGCTAGCAAGTGGCACCCATGTTAGCTATGAAAGCTACGGTTATCAAGTGGGACCCGGGTTAGCCTTACGTTTTATCATTGTTACATTGTTTTCATCGTCGATTTAATTCCTCGCTAGTTATGGGAAGGTACACATGTTTCAACACATATTAGCACTGCTAACACGTCTCACAAACAGCATCAGCTAGCATCTGGTACCTAGCACTTGTTTTAGTGTGATGCAACTGAAATGAACTTACCCATGGTAGTTGGCAACCGAACACCCGAATCTACGCCGTTGTGCTCTACTAGGGACTCTTGTGTCGTCCATTGGGTTGTTTGTTTGTTTTCTGCCGGTGTGAGATGCTCGTAGTGGTGAAAACATTCTGTAAACAATTGTCTTGCGCTAAAAGCCAAGTCGCAGTGGTTGACCCTGAGATGGAGGGAGATAGAAAGATTTAGGGTTTGCAGCTGTGTTTGGGGAAGGGGGTCATCTCGCTCTCACGGACCTTCGATCAGAGGAGCATTGGGTGTTACCCTCAGCTTCACCTAAGTTCTTATCTCAACTTGATTTGTGGCTTCTCGTAACCGCCGCTAAGAACTGTCTTCAAGTGTATAAAAACTCAGCGTTTTTACTCCTCGGAGACGCCATTACACAGAGCGCTGGAATACGTGCTGGTGTTGGACCTCCTGCTTGCAAGCAATAGTTAGAGACCGATATCTGCAGAGAATTGCTCACGTAATCTTTTTCTCTTCTAAATAAATGTAAACCTTTTGACTTTAATTGATCAACGTGCTGGATCCTTCTCATCAACCGACTCGGGGGATCGGAGATCCCGACAGAAGTGTTGAATGACGATAAACTGAAGGGTGAAGCCTTGAATGACGATAAACTGAAGGGTCCACGGTTACCTAACCCTTCGAACACAGTTCAGTGCACTAACCCCTGGGCGCCAACAAATCGTGTTTGGCACCAAAGGTGGAGATGGGGACCTCCAGCCACAACGACGTGGACCTCAGCTGGATCCCTCAGGAGACCCTCAACCAGATCAGTAGGGCTCCTCTGTCTCCTTCTGTCTCTCCCTTTGTCTCCTTCTGTCTCTCTGCTTCTTCTGGAAGTTGATCCTCATGATGAATATTTGAAAGCATCTAAAAGGCTTCAGAGGTTTTGTAGAGAACATAAAGACATAAAGTGACATTCTTTTGTTGCTCGGACGCTTTCATCTCTGCTGCCGTTTTTCTCGCAGAATCAGCTGTTCTCTCCCTGTTTGACCTTTAACCTCCACTCTGCATGAGGGTCACTCACTGTTTCTCTCTCATGTTTCCCTGCGTCTCCAGTGCAGAGTCGCAGAGGTGTGTGTGTGTGTGTGTGTGTGTGTTGCTTCAGAGATGAAATAACTAATGAACAACACGCAGCAAAACGTCTTCAGCCTCCGTTTAAACAGAATGAAACATCTTCATCACGGAGGTGACTTCTCTTCTCTTCTTCTCTCCAGACAAAGCGTCTCCCAGAAGATCTCCTCGCAAGAGGAACCAGAAACGCTCAGCCGGCTCGGACGAGTGACGGTCGCCATGGCGACGGTCCACAGAGGACGGATGAAGACGGGACGAGTGGGGACTCGTTCCACTGAGAGACTTTAAACACACAGGGATCATGTGACTGGTTTTATCTGCTCGTTTCCTCTGTGGGAGACACAGCGTTGATGGATTCATTCCATCCAGAGGAAACGAGCTTCTGCTTTCATTTTGTTTTTTAAATGTGCAGGAAATAAAGTTTGATTTGATGTCGTCTTTGTTTGTTCTGATAAGTGTTTACGACACATTGATGTATAAACGTGTTATAACTTAATAGTTGAAGTAGGAAAACAAACTTTAAAATGAAGAAAAGAACTAAATAATCAAGTCACTTTTGAGACGATTGTTTCACTTTTATTATTAATTTCCTGCTGCAATAATAAGACTTTAATCATACAAGTATGTCAGCAAAGTAATACATGGAGGGACTAAATATACTGTTAGAAACAGAAGCACCTGATATTATCTCATTAAACATTTGAAGTTGAAATCTGCTAAAATAATTATTCATATTTTCCTTATTTGTCGTTTATCAAACGTCTACTTGAACATTGTGACACATAAAGATGAAGATTAAACATCTAAACGATAATTATTGATTCCATCTGCAACACCACAAGTCCCAGAGAGCTGTGGACCCCCCAGAGTCCAGACCAGCTCAGGTACCCCTCACCTGCTCCACCTGCATCTACACCCACATGAACCACCATCAGCTGCACAGACTGAACTATGTGGTGAGCAGAGAGGAAGGTTCTCCACCAGGAGGAGACTCTCCCTCCTGCAGAGAACACAGAGACACTGAGGAACCAAAACAGGAACCAAAACCATACCAGAGTCCAAACCCAGGATAAAGAGGTTCAGTGAATGTGGTGCTGAAGGTGTGGAGGTGGATCAGTGTGTCAGAGGAGACTCTGTAGAAGGACAGAGAGCCAGCAGGACAGTCCACATACACTGCTACTCTACCAGAGGAGGAGGAGGAGGAGATGCGTGTTTGTGTCTTATTGTGACGGACAGAGTAACCTTCATCAGAGCACATCAGACTCCAGGACTGATCATTGCCTCCAAACAAACTGTCACTGTCTCCTTTCCTCCTGATTCCTCTGTAACTCACTGATACATCAACGTCTCCTCTCCACTCGACCTCCCAGTAACAGCGACCAGTCAGACCAGTTCTACACAGCAGCTGATCCCAGAAGTCAAATCTGTCTGGATGATCAGGATACGACTGATCCTCCTTCACACGTGTCACCTTCCTGTTGTTGTCAGACAGTTTGAGGTGTTTGTTTACTGTGTTTGTGTCGATTGTGAGTTCACAGGAATCTGATGAGAGAACAAGACACAATACAGCTGCAGTTATTAATCATGTGTTCATCTACTGACACGTTGATGATGACATCACAGAGGTGAATGAGTGATGTCACAGTGTGAAGATGGTTGAATCTTCATGAATCAAAGCACACTTACACTTCCTCAGACCTGGTGTCAACCATCGGACTCCATCAGGCTCCACCCTGAAAGGAGGAGGGGGGTCATTGCTGCTTGCAGACATGGACATTACATCACTCTCACACACAGCTTTGTCCTTCATGTGCACATGGAGCACTTCTTCTTCTTCTACCACTACTTACAGACGACCACAGACTGTCAGTCAGGCGTCACACAGCGACGAGGTGCTGGTATATATTCATGAAGAAGATGAATGGATAACAGATAAGAAATGGACCTGTCACTGTACTTTCACCAGATGTGAATTCAAACGGGAGAAATGACGTCATGCTACAGATCAAGCTTCATGGGACGTGTGCAAAGGAACATTCACATTAAACTGTTTCATAAAGATAAAGCAGATACAGACCATTCAGTATTCACACAATGTGCATGTTTCCATGTTGTCCCCATTTGTGGACAATGTCTCTCCCTGTGGTTCGCTTGAGTCCCAAAACTTTACAAATGGCTTTGTCACCTTTTCCACACTGATGGATCTCAATGACTTTGTTCCTCATTGGTTCCTGAATGTCTTTGGATCGCAGCCTGATGTCTCGCTTGTGAGGATCTTGTGGTCTACTTCACTTTGTCAGGCAGCTCCTATTTAAGTGATTTCTAGATTGAGAACGGCTGTGGCTGGAGAAATGGAACTGGGCTTTCCAAAGATGTGATGAACCTCACTTCATTCATGTTTTCATCACTTTTTCACACAGGGCCATTTAGGTTTGGATTCTTTTCTCCCCTTAATGATACAAAGTGCATTTTGTGTTTACTTGCGTTATCTGTGTCTAATATTTACATTAGTTTGATGATCTGAAACATTTAAGTGTGACATGCAGGCATGAAAACGGGTCACGGGTGAAAAAGGTGAGAAGGATGTTTCCCCTCTAGGGGTTTTCAGCTGGTTTTGTCCCAGGGACCAACATTCTGAATAGAAAGTCACTGGCCTGTAACCGCCCCCCCACATATTCCGCCTGTAGCACTTGTCAGTGGAATCTCTTCCATATTCTTCTGGATATTCAAGTGACTGAATGTCTTCAGCTGGACGCATCCGTCTTAATGTGCCGGTAATGATGGTAAATGATGCTTGTAGCTGGTTGTCATCTACGCTCCACTACGGTTACCAAAGGTGGCGTTTGTGTTTTCACAACGTTTTATCTCATAATTTAGACTTTCTATC